CATCATCATCATCATCATCATCATCATCATCATCATCATCATCATCATCATCATCCACAAATGGTATATACTTGATTGCTGCAGTTGCTATCTGGGTCTATGCCGGAGAGCGCCTCCCACGCATCACTGGCTTATTGTATGGTCAGCGCGATGGATGAACCAAGGCCAGTTTGCCAAGGATAGCTATGCGGACACGAACCGGCCCTACGACATTCTGCGACTGGTACCAAAAAGCCGTCGAACTCGAACCACTTCCGTGATTGAACACCCAAACACTCCATTCTGTGGAATATATACCAGCATCCTCCAACAGGTCTCCTTTAGAGGGTTCTTGGGCTCCAACAGGTCTCAATTGGTGACCTGTTGGAGGATGCTGGTATATATACTATATTACTATATTGACACATTGACCCCCCTGGCACCACCCCTGCCCGGTTCTCGGCAGTCCGGACTGGCAGTCCCAGACGGGTCGTCGTGTCTGGGACAGGAGATCGGAGGTCGACCGGGTGGGTGGCACTGGTCTCTCCGACCGACGCTTCGCGCCCGACGCTTCGGATGTGGCGGTGGACCGGTCGGACAGCCGAGGCTTCGAACGATCGGATCACGGACACAGTACGTACCCCCTGCCGGATCGACGGGGAGGTTTGGTACATCAAAACTGGTGGGCTTTGGATTTGTTCGTTCTAAACCACTCGGGCCATCTGGTTCCCTGCGAAAGATCCAGGGTTGCTGGCTACCATGCGGACTACATGCAGTCCCGGATGACATGTCCCGGACGAAAGACTGGTTTCCAGCATACCGAACAGGACAAACAAAAAACCTTTTCCCATGAGTGTTGAGATGTGTTGGGTGAAGAATTCTACATGCAGCATGCACGGACTCACTTATGGTATTGGCTTTGTCATCCGCTGCTGGAAGCAAGCAACCTGCACAGCACGGGACACTTGAGGTCGATCATGCACTACGGCCCAACCGCCTTCACCAGCAATGGCATGCCCTCAATCACTGTGAAGCCGTGTCCCGATCGATGATGGGTTCTTCGTGTGCTTCCTCACCAAACATGGGGAGACCATCTAAGCAGACAACTTTTCTGCAAGCACTCGATGAGCACATCCCGTCAGCTCTAGAGTTTCTCTTGCTTGGAGAAGTGTGGGTTTCTTCTTAACAAGTACCTGGATCTGATCCCAACTACAACCCACACGTTGGCTTGCAGGTGTATTATTGGTTTCCCCTTGGATGGGTATAACTGTCAAGAGTCTTGCGAATATGAACAACAAGGAAGCCCTATAAACAACAAAAACCAGCCTTCGGGTTCTACATGGAGTGGTTGATCTCAAGAGAAGATATTCTGTTTCGATGCCAGCACTAGCCGGTTACTTATGTTTTCCTTTGGATTGGAACAGAAGATTCTCGGAAGTCCTGGTTGTTTGAGGCATCAAAAGTTCATTGCAAGGTACTTTGGTGTTGTTTAAGGTCAGCGCTCATGCAGATTGATTGTCTCATTGTCTCTTCAAAACCCTTTTGGACCTCCGCAGAAACCGCTGAATGGAACAAGACGAACTAAGATTTCAGCGGTTTTGCTTTCAGCTGGCAGGAGAAATCTATCTACACTTCTGAGCCCAAACGTGTTGGCTTTGCCACATTTTTGTGGAGTCGTGCGGGGAATCCCCCAAGCAGCGCTGTGAATCCCTTCAGTCATCCCGAGGAAATGGGTCTTATGGGCCTTAGTTAGGACCCTTGGGTACTTGGTGCTTGGATCCATTTGGATCCTTATGGGCCTTGTTAACCCTTACGGGCTTCAGTTAGGACCCTTGGGTTTGTACACTCCACAAAATCATCCTGGAGGATGTCTTGCCAAGGCACCGCGAGGACCCCTTCGATTCAACATCCGAAGACCATGACTTCGGGTGGTTTTCACTCCACCGAAGACCATGATGATTTCAGGGAGTGTCTTCTTTTGTTGGAGACCCCCGAAATCTCACCCAGATCGCTAGGTAGACTGGTCTCACACCCCGCACCTTCCTGGATTTTGTCGTTTTGATGTGAATGACTTAAGATTGAATAACTACTAGACGTGCCCTACGTCCAGTCTGACTCAGTAAACTCGTCAAACTGACCTCCTTTTGGGTAGTGGTTTTGTATGACCAACTCCAGTATTTCATAAGGTCAAACTGATCGGCAAGGGGTCGAAACCATGCTTCTTTGGACGTTCTTTCCCATGAATCTCATGAACATTCAAGATGTTAACAGATCTTTCCCAACCAACTAGGGGCAGTGGCTGAGATGTTCCACCAGTGCACCAGCGATTTTGGACGATGCCCCAAAAGGGACGATGCGTGGATGCAACCAAAAGGGACGCGGATGGAGAATCCACTACTATGATGGGTGGCGGGCCAAGCGGCCACCTATTCCAGTGAGACAATAAGTGGAAACCGACCTGGGACATCCTGGGGATGCGACCTCGGGTGCTTCAAAGTGACCTACCGAATGGGACATCCCGAGGTCGCATGGGTAGAATGCAGATATGATATCAGAATACATCAGCAGATATTATGTATATAGATATGTGATATGTAATTACCTACAAAGAAAACAGGTTTGACAATTCTTCTGAACTCGCTCTTTTTTTTTGCGTGTCAACGCAGAGATGATGCCCTGCCCCAAAGTGGGCCCCGTGAACGCATCCCCAGGGCGGGCTTCGCGCTCTACACGCAAGATCCTAATCGATATCAGCAACTCGGCTTGTGAGGTTTACAACCCAAACTCCATTTCCCAGTGGTGAAGGTGTGTCCCAAAATACTTTGACCTTGTTCCTTCCCTACAAGTCCAAAGACCCAGTAAAACCAGGTGCCAGGGCACTTTTTGTTGCTTCGAGCGCTTTTTGAGCTCCAATACATATTGGACCAAGGGATGGTGGTATGTCCTTTGTTCCAGTTGGGATTCCCGGTTCCCTCATTATAAATGCACAGGCAGGTTCTGATAAACCAGGCCTAAAGTGCGTGCGACCGCAGAACATGCCTGTACTCCACTCCATGCATCCAATTATATATAAGTTGGCCAGAGTTGCCGGTCAAACCAAATAATCCACTTTATTTCCCTAAAGGTACCTTGCATTTGCACAGGTTCATTTTTCGAGCACAGCATCCCCAAATTGAACACGCACATTGCGAGCAAATTCCCGCAACATGGGCGCACATTCCCGTAAAATTGGTCCGAATTTAAAGCGTGGCGGAAGGCTATTGTTGTCGATCTTTTTGAATGCCTTGCTAACTCAATATGGACTGCGCTCAAAAAGCCCTACTCAAAAAATATAGATAAACGTAAACTTTTAAGGTTGGAGATGTGTTTTTGAGTCTTCGTTTAGAAGCGGGCCCCCAGCAGACTATGGTGATACAGCAAGGCAGCGCTAGATTGGCGCTAGGTTGGCGCTAGGTTTCTTCATAACAGGATAAGCAAGCAGAAAAAGAAGACACAAGCAGAGAGCAGGAAAAGAAGAAGCAAGACAAGAAAAAGAAACACAAAGCTGAAGAAGAAGAAACATAATGCACAAGAATCACAAGAAGAAGAAAAAGACAAGCAAGCAGGAAAAAGGAATCTGACAGGATAAAGAAATCGACGGAGATTTTTGCGCTAGGCTGGCGCTAGATCCGCGCTAGCACCGCGCTAGACGACGGTCCGTTTCTTGACCATTCGCCCATCCAACATCCAAATCTTTTGAGTCAGCTCTTACATCCTTCCTATGTCGTCCTGAAGATTTCTGAGAACACAAATGGGAAACAACTGCAGAAGTCCAGCAGCAGCAGTAGCAGCAACAACAGCTCCAGCAGCTCAACAGGCCCCTGGAAAGGTCCGCGCTAGACACCTCTCACAGTTTTTGCAGTTGACGTGCCTTCATGTTTAACATCCCTGTGGTTTGAGTGTGGTTGGAGTTTAAAGGAGATTTAGAAGCGGGCCCCCATGGAATTGCGATGAGTGCACCATTTTGGGAAAAGTCATTTTGGAAACCAACCATATGAGTTTCTAGTTGCTTGCAGCAGTGGCTTCAGCATGTAAGGGAATTGTCAAAGGTTCAACGCTCATAGAGAGAGGACAATTTGGCTGCAGCCTAGCAGTGTTAGTCTTATAAACGACCTAAGAGTGGCAACAGCTTTCAAGGCAGAGTCCTTGTTCACCTGACCTGGTTTTATTGAAGCAGCCAGGAAGGACATACTGTATGTTTGTATGTTTGTTGTGAGCTCTTTGGGCTCCGGCCTGGAGTCTTCAGGGTTCCCCAGGCCATCCTGTGAGTGTGTTTTTTCACGTTCGTCGCACTTTTTGAGGCACTTTATGTTTCTCGCACGCTTTTTTCTGTATCGACGGAAGGTTCGACAGAAACAAATGGAGGTCGAATCAAATGGTAAACGAACGTGGAGGTCCTGGACATTGGTAGAATTACACTCTGACGAACACATCACATAGAAGTGGCAAAGGGGCGCTTGGAAGACCACTGTCCTGTAAAAACAGGGGGGGTCCCCTTTCATGTTAGTGAGGCAGAGTGCAATATCATGTAACATCCAATGCCAATGCACCTTTATATAGCTCTTTAACGCTGATTCACTCGCTTAATTTAAGGACTTGCTATTGCATGTAATTATACACTATGATCTACCCCTCACTTTTGCTATCCGATCTGAACTGTTGCAGATTGTTGTTTGCTCCTGTGTATGTCCCGGTGGCTAGCGGCAAAAACACCACCCTCTGGCTTGCGTGAGAACATCTAGGGTTTTTGTGTAGGCGAAGTGCCACACCCGCTGTTTGGGTTAGGTTTGAGATTGTTTGAAACTATAACCCTACCATCGCAGAACCCCTAGCAGGTCTGAGGTCAGCAGATCTTGGGTTTTGTCTCGCTGCGATGTGTTGTTCGCTGTTCGCTACCACGTTCGTTCTACATCGAACGGGTCCCGATCCAGATAGGGGCCCAACGGAAAGAGGCGTCGTGCAGCGGAGGTACTATCGAACGGGGCAGCGGATGGGAATGAGTGAGCGCGACATCGGCCAGCTGAAGGATCTCTATCAGTGTCACTCAGCAGCAGTTGGACGTGGACGTGGAGGGATGTGAGGAGGAGGAGGAGGAGGAGGAGGAGGAGGAGGATTAGTCTCATGGTGGTTGTAGTCTCAGTGGATCGCCGTGGAGGAGGGGGCACCATGTGACAGTAGATCTTGATTGGTTGGGGGATCAGCGGTGTCAGTGTGGAGGATCTGTGAGAGTGGATCGATGGTGTGGTAGAAGTCTCAGTGTTTGTGACGGCACCAGAGGCTCTGGACCACCATACCATTTGGGTGCACCCCATACGGTAACCAGACCCCAGTTCGGAAGTGCTGCTGTGTGCTTTTAGGTGTTTTTGGTCGAGCTGTGAACACCGATGCCAGGCTGGCTTTAGTAGGTTGATGTTTGTTTATCTATGGTGCATCCATCTATCCATAGATCCATCCATCTATCTCGAACACATTTCTTTTTGGCGAGTCAGGGTGTCTTTGTCTTTTTCATTTAAGCTTAGACTTAGCAGTTCTCTTCCCTTCTTGACAAGCTCAGTAAGGCTGGTACGGAACCTTACTATGAAGATGCTGATTCTTCGTTCTTACTCACTATTGTGTTGAAAAGCTTCCTTTCAGGGCAGGTAAGCCAGCTCTAATCAATTCTTGTGCAACCATTCCAAGGGCAAGAAGCCAAGACTGGCCCCTTTTCGCGACAGCCAAGTCCTTTTTGGGCAGTCGGATCCTACTAGGGCCAGGGGCCAGGACCTCTGAACTGAGAGCGGCATGTGTTGCAGCATCCCATGTTTCCGATCCTCCTCGAAACTGGATATCAACCACGAAGTTACCGCTTTGGATCAGTCAACAGCTATAACCATTCTGATTAGCCATGGTGACTTACTTGAGAAAGCACGCCTGACCAACATGACATACACGTCCCTACCCAATCTGATCCCATCGACAAAGCCCGCGCAGCTGGACGGGGCCTCTCGAGATATGCAATCCCGCGACGAAGGGGGGTTCAGTTGATGCTTGGGTCGAGCAAATTGGCCCTTGAGACACACCAATGCCTTCAGCAAGCCAAAGATCTGAAAGATCATGCTCCTTTGCCCAGAGCTAAATTTTGATGGGAATCCAAGAACTCTCCAACCTTCAGTTCTGGAACCTTCAGTCACTGAATGGAAACACTCCAGGCCGTGGCTCCAGCAATTCTTGAAGCAAACCACGCCACAGCCGCAGGCCACTTTGAACACTTTCTGTGGGGTGGTTCTCAGCTACTGACGGAGGATCGATCGAAACACAACAATTGTAGTCGCCCGCTCTGCTCCGTGTTTCACCAATCCGTTGGGCAACAAAAACACGTTAAACACTGTGGCACTGTGTTTTTCTTTCCCCAAACAGTGTAGACACACTAGGGGTTCTTACGGTAGGTGTTAAGCACCTGGTTGTTGTTTAATGTTTCTGTTCTCTCCTTCCCAGGTACCACACCCAGCACCTGTATGGGCAGCAATATGGTCGTGGTGACCTCGCAGCCGTCGAGCGCCGTGCGGCCACCGAGCCCCGTGGGGCCCATCGGACCGATGCTGGGCGAAGAGGGGATCCGTTTCACCGGTCGGCCCCCCGTCCGATGTTGCGGATCATCCGGTGTTGGTGTTCGGTGTTCCATGATGGGTTTTCGTTTTTTGCGCGTGTTTTTTTTTCGTTGTGTTTTTTTTGGTTTGAAACTAAAAATGTCTCGATGCTAAGCCACTTAGGTGAATCGACGCGGCACCCCAAACGGAAACAATCCGTATACAGGCTGATCTCATGAAATACATGACGTTGATCATACAAAAACACTATTCAACAAAGGCTTTACTAGGTCAGACTGGACTTGTATAGGGAATCTTTTGGTGCATTTGAGTGGGGGGATCCCCTCTTAAGTAGTCAGAGGTGGTTTGTTCTACCTCCAAAATATGATGCGGGCAGCTCAGTTTGGTATTCATTGCTTTGATGCACTCTACAGATAGGAGTCCAAATCTCGTCAAGCTGCCCTGGAGCTGTTTGTTGACTACACACATGATGAGTTATATTATGTTACGATGTCTTACGATGCTATTTCTTTGCATGTTCCAAGTGTGGGGCAGGTTGTGATTGACTTCCTGCTCCCACCCAGTATCACTTGATAAATTCATTGGCTATGTTGATGAAGTTGAAACATGTCTCTTTTCCGGAGCAAGATCGATCAGCATGCTTTGGTGTACCTTAAAACAATAGAATGACACATCTCTTCAGATCGACCTTTTGGTGTGCCCACTCCTGCTATGAACGCCATGGGTCATCAATCCCCTTGTGCGGAACCGTGCACCAATTCCTCGTGCTTTCGGTGGCATAGGTGGCTGCGAGCTGCAGAAATCTCACTCCGGTGAATCACTAAACAAGCAGGTGAGATTCATCAGATTTGACATGATGATCTACCTCCATGCCATACCATTCAGTTAACTGGCAGAATCAGATTCTGGCAGATTCGACTTGCAACCCTTAAGGAACAACATTTCCACCAGCAATTCCAACTTCTATATATATATATAGTTATTTTGTTTTTTCCCCCAACCAAAACATCAACACTTCGAGTCATCGACTTGTTTCTCAGCATCCTCTCTTTCATGCTCATAAGGAACTGGCCAGACATGGGCGGCTTTGGCAACATGCTGCAAGGCCGAGCCGTCACCCTTTCGGTCGGTCACCGGTGACATGTCGGTCCGACGGTCGAAAACAACACTCAGACACGACGACCCGTCTGGGACTGCCAGTCCGGACTGCCGAGAAACGGCCAGGGGTGGTTGACTGGGGGGGTCTGTCTGGGACGATTTTTTTATGGCAGTCCCATGGAGTGCCTGGGACAGGTTGAAGCTTTCTATTGGGTTCGTTTCAGGAAAGCAGCGGATGGGGGTTCAGGCAGGTGGCACTTTTGGGGGAGCGCAGGGCATTTCTTTTGGCCGTCTATAGTCAAAAAACTCTAACCCAGTCAGTGCAGAGGAGGATCTGAAGGGTCCGCAAGGAGGGTGAAGCCAAGTAGTTGGAGGTGGAGAGACCCGCCCTAGGGGTTGGCGCGCGGCGTGGGGTGGGAATCGCGGGCAGATTTGGATAGGGGAGTTCGGCAGTTGTGCAAAACCTTTGGCACTTTGATGGATTATATATATATATAGTTGGGTGGGTAGTTTGTTCAGCAATCATGGTTTGTTGGAAACGACCCAGAACAGTGGAGGAAAGCAGTTAAGCAGTTTTCTCTGGGCCATTGTGCACAAAGTTGTTGGAAGGAGGCCAATTATTATACGTAATTATGCTTTATTAGTGTTTCTGTTTCTCCTTTTGGAACTTTGTTTGTAGGACATGTTCTGTAGTGGTCCTGAAATTTCACCCACCCGTATACTTTAATCCCAAGAACAACCAGATGGGACCAGTCCCACAAAACAAGATGTCTAACACAGATATTTGATATCTAGTTCTCCGGATAGGTCAAATCTTCCACACTCTGTTGCCACCTCCCTCAGAGTCCACACCTCCCACCCAGCATGTGCAGGTGACTCCTTGGTACAGCTCGTGGTGGCCGCAGTGGTCATCATTGTGCTTTGCTCCGCACTGAGCTGCCTGTGCTCCCGTGGTGGCGGCTATATACGCATCTGAGAGTAGAAGAACAACTGAGGTGGTCCAGGTGGCGGTGAAACCCCGATGGTTGATGTTGAAGCGAGCAAGATTTGTTGAAAATTGTCAATCTCTCTTACCATCCCCTAGGGATCCAGTCGTACGTTCTCAGGTTCGGTACGACTGGACCCTCCAAACCTACATGACGTTGTCTCCAATCACCTTCTGAGAAGGTACTTGGATCCCTAGGGATCTCTTACCATCTCTCATCCACATGCCGGCGAAACTCCCGTCAGAACAGATGCACAAAACGACCACGACCTTGATGCATGTGTCCATTGCTGGATGAGCATGACTTCGTTTTTGCCGGCTCGGTGTTTGATGGGTAACAAACAATTTTGAGATTACAACTCACATGATACCCACTAGAAGCATCTAGTACTCTTGGTGATACTGAGTGCCTCTGAAATTGGTGAGGAGTCTGAAAAGGCCATTACACTCTTGCATGGAATAGAGGAAAATGGCTGCGAAAGGATGACCATGTTCCTCTACAAACAGGTGTTTGTTCCACTTCCATGTTGGTGACTCGGGGTGTACCTATGATAATCCTCCGAACCCAGAAAGGCTGGGCCACGTCAAGGCCCTCCTTTGGTCATGTACAGTCCGATATCATCAAGAAGGAAGATCTCGCTGTTTGATATGCAACATGCATGACACGTTTTTGTTTATGCTGGAAATCAATTCGTTTTGTTTTTCCATGCTCACAATTGGTTGGGGTTTATGTCGCTTAAGTCGCCTGTTTGGTAGCGCGACTTACAGCCAAGAAAACACTCAGGGGTTGTTGTAGTGCTAGTAGTAGAATACAGAGTTCAAGTCATACATCAGTTTTCTTGGGATGTCCTCTATGAGTGTTGTTGATCTATCAGTTTGCGCGCTGCGCAACTTATATAACAGATCCAACACGGCACATCAGTTTAAAACGCCCTGCTCGCCCCGCTTGTTGCGACAAGAATCAACACAATCATCCGGGTATGCCACCGGTGGAGTTGGGACCGGCCACATCGGGTGAGATCTCTGAGATCGGCCCCGGCCGTGGTGGGGTCGTATCGATCGGTCCGGTGCATCGAAAACCGATGGCTTTTCGGTTGGTCCGTGGATTCTGGAAAAAACACAGAGACAAAGATATGACTCATATGACCCAAATGCAAAACATGACCAATATTAATTCATGTTATCAATATGTTGTCTACTCCAGGATGAGTGAATTTTACGTATTGGATGGTTATATAACCCATATGCCATATCTATATATTATATTGATGTCTATTGTATTGTATATCACGTACGTACGACACTCTATATCTATAAACTGAAGATATACTCCAACAGGATTAGATCGGATGTGCAGGGGGTTTTTAAGCGACCAATGGTCGTTACTTTTTAGGTAGCCCGGTGGCGTGCTTGGCAGTGTTTTTGCTCGAATTCTCCACATCAAAGGGTAGGCCACAACTAACTGCAAATTTATGTGGTTTACATACTATGCCTTCCACACAAAGTATCCGAAAGCAGGTGGCATGGCATGCCAAGACATTGCACACATTTGCTTCTCGATGATGCACCTCCTGGGGCGGCTGCCCCATCGGATCTAGCTGCGCGTCGTCCAAAGACGCGTGTCTTCTCGCGGCGGCGAGAGCCCTTAAGGGGCGATGCGTGGTCTTGCCACAAAGCTGATGGCAGAGACGAACCGGACTGTGTGACCAGCGCGGAAGAAAGATGATTCAACGTTTGTTTGTGGTCATGCTTGCTTGTGTGCATTTTGGGGAAAGGATTCAAAGTTGAAGTTCGCATGAATTGTCATATGTGGGACCGCTCGAGCGATCATGGATCCCTTGGAACAGGATCTAAAATCTTAAACTTACAGTACCTAGCACTTCCAACGGGTGCCCAATGGAGACCTGTAAGTAGGGTAGGGTAGTCTATTGGACACCCAGACAGGATGATCCCGGTAGTTGGTTGTGCGGTCAAGGCCAAGGCGATTTCTTCAATGAAGCATCAGCGAAGCTGCAAAACCGGACCTGTACGGACCTGAAAGGCCGAAATCAGACTTTGCTGACATCATTGAGGATAGGAAAGAACACAGAAAGAAGTGAGAAGACTTAATGCCCTAGGGCTCCAGTCGTACCTTCTAAGAAGGTGGGACTGGGGTGGGTGCCAGGAGGGTCCAAGTACCTTCTGACGAGGTACTTGGAGCCCTAGGGATGGAGTAATTTGGTTGAGGAGACTCTCCGTCCAATACATCCAGATCCCGAAAACGCCCCAAAGTCCAGACCAAGGATGGTCTGAGTATGGTACTGAGTATGAAAACGCCCCGAGAAGAACATGTTCGGAGGTCAGATCTGCCAGGGTCCTTGTTGAATATGTTGCTTTGGGTGGGCCGTTTGGTGTTCTTCAAGCCGTTTGTGGTCGCGACGCCGTCAAATCTTTGCATCACCCACCGTAACGTTTGATGCATACCAGTTGTGGCCTTCTCATTGGACAGATTGAAGGAATGATGTGATGAGTTTACTTCGGAACTTCGCAGTTGACGAGTCGGCGGGTTCCTGCCTTGCTGAGGGCAGGTCGATTTACACATGGAGGATCTACCACCAACAGCCTCCACAAGCTACAGCCGGGCTGCTCAAGGTGTTGGCGCCCCCCCGTGGGCGACACAGGTGTGACAGCACCTGAAAAGGAGGGTTCAGAAGTGGGTGAAAACGCTAAGCTTCATGGCTCCCTGTCAACTCTGACAGCCCCTACTGAGTCAGTGAAACGAATCCGAGTCAGCTTCGTTTGTTTTCCGCTGTGAAGTCTTGACATCTACAGGTTTTCCGTCCTTGTTTGCGTTTTCCGTCCTGATGGGTTTTCCTTGGAGTGAGTGAACCCAAAAATGCGTTCGTCGACTTGAGGTGTTCATCGGATTCCTACCCCGGAAAAGTGGACCTGGAAAACCTTTTGGGGGGGATTGGTTTCCGCACGAAATATGCAACAGATGGCCCTGAGAGAGGACCCGGTTTTTTTTCGTCGGACTGACCAGGGCAACGTTTCACGTGCCCAGTCGAAGGAGTGGGCCACTGTGAGATATCCAGATCGATCCCTATGATACTGATCAGCTTTAACGGTTTGGACTCTTTCAAGCCTTACCCAGAGTACTTCGGCCTAGGTACCTCCGTACCTTGGGCCGACCAGAGGTGAGGTGAGTAACCAGAGGTGAGTGCGTACTTCCCAGACAACGCCGGTGACATCGACGTGACGGAGAGAAGACGTGGAAAGGATCGAGAAACCCAGCCAGCAAATCCAAAGCGTTAGGGACGGGTGATAAAGATATGCATAATGTTTATATGCACACCTATAAACAACATGATGTTGGCTGATATATACTGTAATATGCCCGCCTATAGACAAGTGCTGATGTTTTTCTGACTGTGAGACCAAGTGCCACTGGAGCTCAACCTCCTATCAATGTGTAACCGTGTAAATATATACATCGACGACTTCTTTTCCACCCTTGAAACCCAATACAAAAACATCAAATAACAACAACAAACAATCAGGTGGCATAATGTACGTAATGTAGGCCTTGAGAAAAACAAAATCTCAGCAGCCGCCCGTTGCATCGGATGCTGAGGACGCAGAGCTTGAAGTGGGAGGCGACCGACCGAGTTTCGGTTTCGCAGGTGCGTTCGGAGTATCAAGGCAGTTGATTGGAGCGAACCCAATCAGCCCAACCAAGACATGTTGATTGTTGTATTGTATAATATAATGTTGGCGCCTGATTAGTAAAGGGGGGTCCCCCCCCCCCTCAAACAAACAGGGGTACCTCTATAATAAACTATCACCAAAACAAATCTGGATTCCTGGTGAGGGATCTTTTGTAATTGATTGTAGTATTCATTATCCAATTTGTTTAGGAGCAATGTTTTATAAAGGGTTTAATTGGGGAACTG